AACCTGGATACCAAGATGTATGTTACAGCTGTGAAAGATGCCAGAAGGCTAATAAAGCTACTGGAAAGAGGTATGGCCTATTACAACACATCCAAGAGCCAACATACCCGTGGGAGATAATTAATATGGATTTTGTCACAGCACTTCCACCAGCAGGAGTAGAGAACTATAATGCTTGCCTGGTTATTGTTGATAGGTTTTCAAGACGAGCTAGATTTCTGCCGTGTTACAAGGAGTCTACCGCAATGGATATTGCCCTTTTGTTTTGGGAAAGACTGATTAGTGATGTGGGACTTCCTAAAGTCATAATCAGTGATAGAAATCCAAAGTTTACTTCAGAGTTCTGGAAAGGACTTTACAGTATAATGGGGACCAAATTAGCATTCTCTACGGCACACCATCCACAAACGGATGGGCTTGCAGAAAAAATGACTCAGACCTTATCAGAAATGGTAAGGAGGTACTGTGCGTTTGGGCTAGAATACAAAGACAAAGACGGGATTACGCATGACTGGAAAAGTCTATTGCCTGCTTTAGAAATAGCTTACAATAGCAGTATACACAGTAGCACCAAGAAGAGCCCTTTTGAAGTAGAGAGAGGATTTTGTCCTAGGCTTCCCAGGGACAAATTTCATAGTAGGGATGTGGATATTCACCCTACCTCGCTAAGTTTTGCCACAATGCTGAACAGAGCAAGGGAATATGCTACTAAGTGTGTCAGAGAATCAGTAGAGTATAACAAAGAGAGATGGGATAAGTCACATAGAGAACCTGAATTTTCTGTTGGAGAACAAGTACTGCTTTCCACTGTTAATTTCAATAATATCCAGGGACCAAAGAAATTAAGAGATCAATTTGTAGGCCCTTTTGTGATATCAAAACTAGTTGGCACGAATGCAGTGGAACTGATATTGCATGGCGAGTTAGAAAGGAGGCATCCTGTTTTTCCAGTTTCCCTGATTAAGAAGTACACTCCTCCTGAGGCTAGTGATATTCGACAAACAAGGACGGTACCAGTAGTAGTCATACCTCCATATGAGCCAGAAGGAGAGAAGAAATTTTTGCAGATACTCAAAGATAAACGGGTTAAAGATAAGGATGGTAAGGACACCATCTTATACCTGGTCAGGTATAAAGGTAAAGGAGCAGATGGGGATGAATGGCTCCCAGGAGATAAAGTACCTAACTCAAAGGTGACTCTTAGAGCTTTTCGAGCATCTAAGAGGGATACAGCAGTTCAGTAGAAGGATAACCTTCTCTGGTGGTGGGGAATGTCAGCCCTGAGCCCTGTGTACAGGACCACGGACTAACAAACACACATGTAAATATATGTAATACATATGTAATTATATGAAACTTGTCTAAAACCATAAGAATTACAACTCATGGCTCAGTTTCAAGAGTCACTTAAGTAACAAGACTTACTAGGACTTAACTAGTAATAGTAAACCTAACCCAAACCTAACTCAAAGAAAAGCAAACCTAAGCGCCAACCACAAGTTGACGCCTAGATCTGGAATATATAAACTCCTCTTCTTCCCACTCTAGAAGAAGGACCAACTTATTATCATTCCACAATTCCACATCACAACTTACTTGATTCTTACCAAGAATATTGAGTATAGTGATTTTATTGTACTTGATCTTATAGTTCTACAACCTTCCTCAAGCCCTTGTAAGCTTTAAAGCGGTGGTTCTAAACTAGTGGGACTATATAGTTATAGAACCAAGCTTTAGAATTGCATAGGATACCTCCTGAGTTGAGTGTAAAGTATCCGGCGGAACCTTTGAGCAATCAGAGTGTAAAGTTCTGCAGGCTCTATCCCCAACAGAGCTCTTGAGTAAGCTCCTTTGAAGGATTACTCAGCCATCCCACTGGCTTTAAACCCTCTTCTTAGAGGTCAACTAACTGAAGTCTTTACTTGTTTATACCAAGTAAAGACTTTGTTAATCTTTATTCCACCCTTACTTCACCTTTTTTAGTGAAGAGTCAGCCAAAAAGTAGCTGACCCCTCACAATAAGAATGAAAAAGGAAAGATAACAGAGACAGCTGGTCTGAAAACCTGACAGGCTAGAAAACAACAGGAGTTTGGTGGGTGGAATTATTTTTAAAGCTGACTGTGAAAAAGATTTTCAGAACTTTCTTTTCAAAGACAAAGTAGTTTGAGACCTTTCTGGTTAAATGTAAAAACCCCCAAACTCAAGTTTTTAAGCCATATTTGAATAAAGCTTGGGTGGGTGGAAGGTAAACGAAATTGTAAGTTTTTTTAGAGGGTTTTGTGTAGATAATAAAAGGCTTGAGTGAGAGAAAAAACACAGGAGTACAAAAATTTTTGGATGATTCTTTTTATTGCAAAGTGGGACAAGGTGTTTTCCACAACAGGATGTGAATTATAGGGAACTGATGTTATTGAAAACTATGCATCCTAAAAATCCATCCTGTGCAGGCATGTGAGATGGAAATATCTCCGCCAGAGAGGATGAGACGTTATGGTTCTGACCTGTGTACTTTCACTACCCAGCACCTTTTGACCCATTCCCGTATGTCAATACATGTACTGACTCCCATTGTTTTTGTAACAAGTGTTGATGGAATGTTTGGTATGACCTGCATGTGCAAATTAAAGTGTTGCCAATGCCAGAAGAGACAGCTTGAATTTTCCGATCCAAGGTATCTGTGGATACAGATTCCCTTGGACTGTGTGTCCAAGGAAATGATCCAAAGCTTTCTTTGGCCCCAAAGGTTGCCTCAGATCAATTACTTGAAAGCTGTGCCCAAGGCTATTGCCAAGAGGTTGAGTAGGGTATCAAAGATGGCTGTGTATTGTTGAAGAACATGCTGGACATATGTGAGGGAGTGGTATGGTGCTGTCACAGAGGTACTGACACCTGAGAGGTCTACACCACGGGGTAAGTGTGACGTGGCACAAACTGGGAGAGAGTCGTTTTTGCAACGGTCTCGTTTTCCATTCAAAACAAACGGCCCCAGAGAGGTTCCCAGATGGGACCAGAAAAAACTCGTTCCCTGAACGTATCAGTCACGGGAAACCAGGCTGTATTGGACCTATCAATCGAAGCTCAGTCAGGCAAAGATTGAGGAGGATGAACTGCTCGCATCCTGATGGGATGCTTGCACTTGGCTGAGCATATGATCTCACCTAGGTCTTCCTCACACTTCAAACCCTCTTTGACCCCATTTTGGGTCTTTTTGAAGCCAGAAAAAAAGGCGAAAGAGACTGATTTTCCCACGATTAACGTACGTTGCGTGACTGAGACCATCATGTCTGCAGTCTCCACAACGTCTCATCTGGGAACCTCTCCAGCACCGTACGAGGCCGACAACATTTACCCCCTGGTGTACTTTTTGGTCTGAGATCAGTTTTGACCAAGGTTTTGGACTTTTTGATTTTTGCCAGATGTACAGGCTACTTGCTAAAGACTACCAATGATTCATAGAAGTGCTGTAGTATAGGGCTTGTCTCTTTAATTTGTGCTAGTCCTGTTGAGCTCCATATTTTACATGTGTGTTTATGGCCTTCTGCTCACACTGCTCTCCTGTGATATTACTAAGAAAATGTATGGGAAGCACAAATATATTACATGTGAGACTCACAATGATGACCCACTTTAACCCACCCATGGGAGTCAAACCTCCATGACCCTGAATTGAACAGGTGGGGGCAAGGTTTCAAACTTCAACACCCAATTGTCTCTAAACTATTAGAAGCCTCAAATGGTGACCAAGTCCATCAAAGTCAGCCAGGGACTTATTCCAAACTTGCACATAGGAATCCTATGATTTGAGGTGTTTGTCAAGGAGTATGTCACAACAAGAAGATCAAATCTCTTGAACTTTCAAAAACTCGTCTGCATTTTGGAAGTATATTGATCTTTAAGGTGTCAAAGTAGATCTTTCATGGAGTACTAAGAAAGGAGATGCTGAATCTTTTGTCTGAGGAGTGGACCTCCAATGTAAAATGATTCTAACTGCTGAATCATGCAAAGCTGTGCCTAATACTGCCTCCTCTACAGTCAAGACCAGGCTGTGTGTGAATTGCCACACGGTTCAAAAAACGACTTAAGAGGACTTAAGGGCTGGAGTCTCCGTGCCAGAACTCGACGATCAGTCACAAGCCCCTCTGCAAGGCGCGCGGACGTGGCCGCGCAGAGAGGGCTTGTGTTAAGCTAACGCAATCAGGGCTGCAGGGCAGGCAGATTTGCTGCACTCAGAATTATCGAAGGTCAGTGGCAAAGTCTGCGTAGTTCTTTCGCAATCAAGGACGTCGGCTCAATGAGTGCAACATGTCAATTGTGTCCATGAGATTATTTCTATTTTTGCACGCATACAACATTCTTGAGAAAGAAAAAGAGAGTACAAGGCTTTACTAGTGAAAGAACACACGGAGTACACGTGAGCAAGTTACAGGAAGAAGTCGAAGGGAAACGATCCTAATGAAGAAAAATAATGATAATCAGCTGGTAGCTACATTATGACAAGAATTCATCATAAGCCTTAAGCACATCAATTGATCAGCTAGCCGTTCTTAGAATACAATTGCTGTCCGTCAGACTACTCCAAGGGAGTATGATTTCGGTTTTAGCATGGAATATGTTTTATCATCGTTTCGATTGATGTGCTACAAGGCTTGTTGAGTTGAGAGAAAAGTGGAGAAGGATCAACTAACCCTGAAAACTTTGCACTCGTATGGAACCGTAAAGTTCGAAAAATACATTCAGAGGTATTACAACAGCTCGGCTACAAATCAGTCAACAATTGGATTCAGGAATTAGCTCATATCGCAGGAAAGTCAAAATCGAATGAGGATCGGACAAAAGAGATCAGAGTTTGCACTGAGTTTGGCATGTGCTATTATGTCAGTCCACACAGCCTGATCACCCAATGGATGGTCAGACTTCTCGGTCTGGGGCGACACTATTTTGCTCATCATATCGAGGGGGAAAAGGAGAGGTGAGAAGTGAATGTAAAGCTTACCGAAGATCAGATAGCACGTGCTTTCCACTTCACATCCGGCCGTTCTATGTGCTGCCGATTCTGAACGATCTTCAACTCCAGGGCTCGGGCAGTCTGTACTCTGAGTTGCTGAGGATCAAGGGTTGACTTGGAAAGCATTTCAAGTTCGACCTTCGCATCAGAGTAGGTGGCTGAGATGATGCCTTGCACAGTTGCAAGGGCTAACTCCGCCGCTCGAGAAAGTTGATGGGGGCCAGAGAGATTCAAGAAGTGACCAAGGAGGACGCTAGCAAACAGATCACCAACACCAACAAATTGTTGAGCAACTCGTGGAAAGACGATGGCCCAGGAGATGCCCAGAGTATCACCATCAAGTCGAGTGCTGCCGGCACAGACTAAGACGCTCCCTTCGGAGTCGGGATTGATGATCGTGTCACTCAAGTGACTCACTGTACTGGCTGGAAGGGCGACTGAGGTGATGACGATGTGAGGAATTCCGTATTGAGTATGAAAGGCACGAAGACAGTCTGAAAGGCTGGCTATGTTTGCAGGACGAATGCCGGTGAGAAGCTCGGCTTCAAAATCATTCGGAGTCGCGAGGGTGGCTGTTCTCAGTAAAGATTTATAGTGCATCGGTACCTCGGAATCGACACAGAGCTTGCCGCTGTCCTATTTGACATCAACAAAGAGGGACACATTAGGAACCGAACAATGGAGGTGTGAGATGGAAAATTACACTGACCCCCATGACTGGATCAACTAGATATACAGCTTGAGGATTGTTCGCCCGGAGTTTCTGCACAAACTCTTCTAAAGCTTCGACACCTTGAGTACCTGGGGTGAAACCTTCGCTTTGTAAGGGAAAACATAACATGATCAACCAATCAATCATCTCGCTACCACTTGAATGTAAGAGGATGAGGTTACTTACCAGTGAGAAGAGCTTTATGCGTAAGAAGACCGTTCTCATGCAGAGCAGTTATACAGCTTTGAAGATGTTCCACTGACATCTTGTCTCCGCCATGATGCCCATATCCTATGAAGAAGAATATTGGAATCAGCTAGCTGGCGAGGATGAAAGAGGAGACAAAAGGACAAGGAACATACCGAGATGATTAGAGAACTGGACAGTATTAAGGGCATCGACATCCCAACCTAATAACTGAAGTGGGAATGTAGCCGACTTATTACCTGTCGATCGATGGGTAACGGTGAATTCTTCGATCACTGAGATTCAGATAGACGAGGCTCTCTGACCAACATAGCCTCGAACGACATGAGATTGTATCGTGAGAATACGAGGAGATGGAGTCATTTTAGGAGGGAAGATGTTTGGATGAACCAGCGTGCCCGGCCATTGGGGGAGAACTTGAGTTTTTCATACTTCATCTCACTTGAAGGCTCACTTGTGGTTGAGACAGATCACATAGCTGACTGTCACTGGTTCCCCGGCTTACCCGACGGACGGGCGACGTCCCATAAGCTGGAACAAATACTGTTCCGCCATGTCACGTCTCCGACCTCCGTTCCACCGACACCTACCGGCCTCTACCAAAACCGCAAACAGAGATAGAAATTCAAAATCCAAAGGTGGATAGAATGTTGCATACCTACAAAAATGATGAAATCATGCATCGTGATTTTATAATTGGATATGTTTGAAATTGACGGAGGAGGTCAGATGTGAGGATGAGAAGAGAATAATTTAATGAAAATATTCATATAGATCCAAAGTTCATTGGCTTTCTGCCAGCTCAGCAAAGCCTAGCCTACACCTCCGGGCTCCAATAGTTCGTCGTATAAATGGAAGTCGAGTTTTGTATTACGGATCGAGTTTGGAAGAGCTATCTGTTAAACCAAGACAAATGTTTTATCCAACTTCAGTCACATGTGATGCAATTGAAGGTGTGAGGCAAATACCAGAAGGTAAGACAAGAAGTTATTTAATCAAATACCAGAAGGTAAGACAAGAAGTTATTTAATTGATGAGAGAACGCGAGAGTTCGTTATCATCGTTTGAAAACCATTTGGCATTCACTGTACTTCACGCTACTTGTAACTTCTGGCATCCAGTATTCCCAAGTTGTTATGGGACAGAATCCTCCCAAGTTCTTGTTTGTGTGTCAAACCCATGAACAAGGCTGGAACAGACTCGCCCGCGACGTATGGCAACAAACTCTTGGGATGGATAAACAAATCCTATTCACTACTATATAGCACCTTCAAATTAATAGCGACCTTGTGTGACTCCAGGGAGAATCCGAAACCAATGAATCCCGATGAATATATACCGTGTCAGTCTATACCGGAAGATAGAGCGCTATGATAGCGCTCTATCTTTGTACACTCTTCATTGTTTGATTTGTTTTTGTAGCAGTCAAGGACCGGCTACTTATTTAGCCACCGTAGGAATCTTTATACCCCAAACCCTTTAGCCTCACCCGATTTTGGGTAAAAGTCTCCCCTTCCTAGTAGGCATGATCAGGCTTGCTCGCCGAGAGGGACTTTGTTAGGTCAGTCAGTTCTTATGCATTATGTTGATAATGATTTGCTTAAATTGACAGTAGAGAGAAAAGTGTTCAATGGTATAACATCCATCAACATCATATAGGTATCCAAACAATGACCTAGCCTTGATTGCATAGGTCGTATCCTTGAGCACTTTGGGCAGTGCTCAACTGGGGGATGGAGCGTTTGATCAACTATGCGGATGGGTAGCCAACCATCATCAAGTTCTGTCATTATACCATGAGAGTTGACATGGTGTTGGGCGTTGACGTAACAGTCTTTCAATATGTTGAAAGAAGCCTCCCAGAGCAACTCCAAGTAGTTATGGATGGACAGTGGAAGACTTGCAGCGAGGTGTCGTATAGGCCTCTGGGCTGTAGTGAGCTCAAGAGACCGTTCACACCGCACAACCACGTTGGAGGTAACACATAAGAACTTGAAGAAGTCTTACACCGTGAGTTTCGACATGCTCTTGGCATCATAGGCGTCAAAAATCGAGATGAGGTCTTTCAAAAACATTGATAGGCCTTTCTTTTTGCCTTTCTTTTCTCGTGGTTCCCTATCTCTTTGCACATTGATTCACGTTGTTTACCTACCCAACGATTTGTACCCAAAACGTACTTTGTATCATTTTTGTCTCCCAACGCTCTTAGGATGAAACTTGTTCTAAGAATGCCACCGTCCTGATTTGTACGGTGCTCTTTGAGAGCTGTCTGTACGATATGTATGAAGTTCCGCACTTTCCACTTCCACGCTAAATTTTTCCACTTGTCAAGGGAGGATTTTCAATATGACACTCGCTGAGGACTCTGACCCATAAAAGCTCAAGTGCTATAGCTGTTTGCTTTTTGCGATTTGTTTATTTGTCTACATTCTGAGATCTGATTACAAACCGTGAAGCAGCTTCCGATATACAACATAGCTACTCTATCATCTTCTCTTTACATCCGAAATGCGTTTAATAAATTTTCTGGTGAGTGCGATCCTAATCAGCACTCAATCCATCGCAAAGCCATTCGAGCGAGGGATAGCCACTTTAAACTTGGGCAGGGCTCCCTTGAACGTTCCAGTTTTAGGATGGAAAGACAATGAAGTTGAAAAGGCTATTCACTCTAAGAGACTACTATTAGTTCTTGACTATCATGTAGGTACCCTGCTCCTTCATCAAGGCTTATTCTTCCATAATATGCTTCCCTAACTATACTTCTTGCCTGTTCAAAATTGTAGGGTACTTTAATGGGTCACGACGTTGGCAAGCAAGACCATCCAAAGCTAGAAAAAATACTCATGGACATATCTAAGACTTCAGATCTGGTCATCTCCTCAGGAGGTCCCGCTAAGGAGCTCCTTGGACGTTTTAACAATATACCTCACCTCACAATCTCTGCTGAGTTGGGAGTCGAAGTGCTTTTTCAAGGGAAGGTCATCAAAACTGCCCCGACGGGCACTCAAGAACAAGTGCAGAGGATCAAAAAGATCTGTGAGGAAGTTAGCAAAAGCAAGTCAACATTTTTTATACCTTTTTGCCTTTTACAACAAGAAATCATTGCATTTGCTGATTTTCTAGAAACCCGTCACGATGACTTTCAGAATTTAATGAAGGTAATCTTTAATTCCCGTTACATTAATAATGAAAGAATTTGTTGACTTTCTTGCCGGGGCCTTTCCTGTTTGTTGGCTAATAGAATTGAATCGAGATAGACACATAAAAGATAATCAATTTGAGCCTTACCCTGACAGGCTATATTCACATCGCGTTCATTTTGGAAACCAACTCGACTTGAAGTCTAGTCAGTGCTAAGAATTACTCAGATTCTTCTCCATATCATTCTAAAACATTGTTCATCGTCTTTTGCATGATCAAAGCAAAGAAATACTGATTGTAATCATTCCTGGATGTTTGTTTTAATTCCTGGCACACTGGTGCCTTTAAACAGTGGTCCGATATTTCCAGACTGTCAAGCAGAGGATCCAAGATGAAGGCTTAAAAGATTGGTTGGTTGAGTTACCCTCTAGTCAAACGTTTCTAAGCATCCGACTAGCAGATAAAGACAAGACAGATCTTACAAAAACTCTTATTGAAAACGCTATTGCTGAAGGTCATGAGTTTGATTATGTGATTGGTATGGGAGATGGCGAGATAGATGAACCTTTACTTGAGTATCTAAACCGACGTAATTTTCTTTCTATCCTCGTACACAATGCTTTTCATAAAAGAGTCAATACCTTTGCTCAGTTTCGTCTTCCTGATGTTGATGGTGCTCAAGCTCTACTGCAACATATTGCAGCTGAAAGGATCAAGAGGATGGAGGTACAGGGTTCAGTCTTAACATAATCATCTCAATAGATTGTATTAGCAGTATCACAGTAATTAATTAGATGCCAAGTTTTTAGCAAATAACAGCAGGAATGCTTGATGTAGACAAGATCTACAAACCATTGATGAGTCTTTAAGAAGTGGCAAAGAAAAATTCCAGTTTTTTTCAATGTAGCTTCTTGGCTTCTTAGTCACCTGCGCATCCCCGTTGTCGGTTTTCTACTATTCCACTTCTAGTTTTGGTCTCAATTAACTGCACTGAATGAGCTTCAAGTTGTTGGATCGTGTATGAAAACCATATGGGCATGTGTTTCCTTGAATTTTCATATCATTAAGATACAGTCTTGGATTTTTTTGGCAGACATAAATTGAATGTTCTTTCTTTTTTATTGCATCTTATATTGAGTCATTCTTTTTGTGCGAAGGCAGTGAGGATTTTTGTTGGCAGACACAATGAGGGAGGGTAGCAAAGAATACATTTTTCTCAATCACCTTGAAACAGAACTGCTTGATATACCTGATTGAACTTAAGTGAGAAGGTCAGATGAGATTTATCAGATGAAGAAACAGATTTCAGTCTGTTTCTCCAATGATAGTTTAAGACAAAATACGCATTTGGAAAGGATGTAAGATCTCAAGATAATTAACTCTTTACTCATTCAGTATCATATTATGACCACATTGTCATTGTTAATTTCTTATGATGTCTTTTCATTTCTTTCATTTTTACTCTGACATCATTACATTTGTTTCCTTCTCAATTTACTCAACTCTACCTTGGTTGTATGTATGAGATGTCTTTCCTATATAAGAATGAATGTTTTTCTTACTTTTCAGTTTCCTTTCTCATTCATTCTTATCTATCTTTCTCGTACCAATAGGCACTTTGCTACTGAGAACAACCCGTGTTCTATCAAAGCTTGTCCCTCTATATAAGACTGGAAGAAATTTGTACCTGTTTTATTTATAAGCTATGAGAATGAAGTCTGTTTTATTTATAAGCTATAAGAATGAGGTGAATTATAAGAGCCATCCAGCCCATCAGTAGGAAATCCATGACCCTATCAAACCAGACTTTATTCAAAATACAAGTGAATAGCATTACCACTTTGAGTGACTGTGATCATGAGATATTGTGGGATATTGAAAATCAATGTCTCATATCTATGGTACCATCCACAACACACAGACATTATGAAGCTTGATTTCTAAGACCAGCCTTTATCATGGGTAGAGACTGATAAGCTTATGCAAAACACTGGCAAAACAAAGATAGATCACACTGGGTTAATTGTTTTTGATTATATATATAGAACAGGTACTGATTAATAAGATATCAACTGAGTTATAGTTTCCAAGTATCTTGAGAACTGCTGAAGGTTACACAATGTGGTGTGCATGCATCAGGAGCTGTGTGAAATTTGAAATGCAAGAAAGTTTGTGTTTTAGTTTCCACCTGAGATCATGGTGGCTCACACACATTGTTTTTTTCAAAAGGCGATCATGTTAGGTATTACAGAGAACTGTGATATCAAGCAGTTTTTTTAGAATATCATCATCGGCTGATATGTTTGCGGATTGAAGATGTGATGGAGTGGATGTGATGAATCATGGGATTGTGATCATGGCTATAAACAAGTTGTGAATGAATTGTGGAATGATGATTTCTGGTTTTCGTCAATCCAACTCATCGATCGACCATCAACACCAGCCAAGCACCATCCAACACCATCCAAGCACCATCCAATATGTATCAACAACAACAACAACAACAACAGCAACCACCACTTCATCCAAATCACCCTCCACCTATATCTCCTAATCTTTCTCATCAGCAACATCCCCAATTTCAACAACAACAACAACCTCATTCACCTTTCAGTTCTCAATTTCCTTCAAATCTACCTCAAAGCCCTGGATGGCCTCATCCTCCTCAACAAAACCAACCTGCTCATCCACCCTGTTTGTTTCATTCTCAAAAACATATCTATCATTCTTGAACTCATTTCATGTTTCTTTTCCATATTCAGATCCTTCACAAGTCCCATCGAACGGAGCGCGACCTCAACAGCCGATGCATCCTACTGGCCAAGTCCAACCACCCTATCAAGCTCAACCTGGTCATCAACAACAATCTTATCACTCAAATCCTCAACATCAACCTATGCATCAAAGTGGGTATTCGCAGCCATTGAATGGGGTCCGACCTGAAGGATTTCAAGTTCAACATCCTGGTGTAAGATTACCGCCACCAGGGGATCCGGCTTCAGGTTCTGCCGCTGGCTTGGCTCAAGATTTGTCTAGGATGGACCTTGGTGGTCCTTCAGCTTCAGGTGTAAGCAATCATATAGTGTCTTCCTATGTGATCGGCGGTCGACCAATCGCATTTCTGAAGTTCTGTAACAACTGATACCGTTTCTGTTCCTTGATTACAATAGCATATGTCTCAAAATGTCGATCCAGCTCCAGTGAAAGCTAAACGACCGGCTCGAGCTTATCACCAAGAATTCGGTTCAACCAGCTCAGCAGGGCCTGGAATGATGTCTTCGAACGCACCACCGGCTCCTTCAGGTTATGGAGGTGTGGGTGTAGGAGCTACCTCTCCCATGCCTCCACGTCCTCAGTTAGGATCCCCTTCACTACCTCAAACTGGATTTCCGAACCCACCAACTTATCAGCAAAATGCACCACTTCGACATCCTGATCGACCAGCGCACCTACAAAACTATGAACATCGACCTATGTCTGCCTTACCACCTGGGCCTCCTCTCCAGCCTGAGTCTGCAATTGCCCAACCTCCTCATACTGCTGGTCAACGTCTCTCAGGACCTCGTAATCGAATCGATCCTAATCAAATCCCATCACCAGTAACAGTTCAAGAACAAGATGGTCTAGCATATGAAAGTGAACCATTTGTAACTTCGAGTGCGATTGCAAGATTAGCAGGTTTATCAGGTTTAGTACCAGCTCAAGTACCATTAAGTTTAACTGATTATGTTGCAGTAGATGATGGAAATTGTTCACCAAGGTTTATAAGAGCTACAACGTATAGTATACCACATTCAGATGAATTAGCTAATGCTGCACAATTGCCAATCGGTTTAATGATCCAACCATTTGCAGAATTAAAGTATGAAGAAGGTGGTCAAGTACCTTTAGTAGATTTTAGTCAAGGACCTGAAGGACCTCCTAGGTGTCAAGATTGTAGAGGGTATATCAATCCTTGGGTTCAATTTATTGAAGGTGGTCAAAAGTTTATTTGTAACTTGTGTGGGAAAACAACCGAAGGTTAGAAGAATTTAATCTCATTTTCCAAGAGAGTAAGAAACTGATGAAACACCCCCAAAAAACTTTCGGATTTCTCTTTTTAAACAGTTAGTTCAAGTTATTTTTGTAATTTAGATATGTCAGGACGAAGGATGGATTGTCATCAAAGAGCCGAGTTATGTAGAGGTTCAGTAGATTTTATAGTGAATAAAGATTATTGGGTTCAATCTGATTCATCAGATATAAACTTAAAACCAAGAAAACCAGAACCGATGATTCATCTGTTTGCAATTGATGTAAGTTGGTCTTCAGGTAAAAGTGGAATGTTGAATCAAGTTACCAAAGGGATCAAAGATATTTTGTATCCTTCTGATGATATCAATGAAGGAGATGAAGAAAGGTTTAGGAATACTTTGGTTCCTGGTTCTAGGGTTGGAATCATCACTTTTGATCGAACAGTTCATTTCTATAATCTTAAAGTAAGTCTTCCCTAACATTTGCAAAAACAACAGTTGATGATTTTTTTTGGTTTGAGCGACTGATTCTGATGATTTTTGTTTTGTGTACGTTTAGGCTGGATTAGAACAAGCACAAATGATGGTAGTTTCAGATTTAGATGATATGTTTGTACCTTTAGGATCAGAAGCTATGTTGGTAGATCCGATCGAATCTCGTTCGATCATTGAAGCTTTACTTGATTTGATTCCGGTCATGTTTGGTGAAAATCAAATTATTGAATCTGCTTTAGGAGGACCTGTACAAGCTGCACTTATGAGTCTGGTAATTATCTCATTGATTATCGTTTGATACTTTAAGGGAAATGTGCTATTTGATTGACTTTGAAAAAACTGGTGGTTTGATTTTTTCCATCAGAAACGGTTAGGTGGACAAGTGAATATCTTTTTAACTTCTTTACCTACTATTGGACCTGGTTCACTCAAACAACGTGAAGATACTAAACTATATAATACGGATAAAGAAAAAACTCTATTCTTACCGGCTGATCCTTGGTATCGACAAGTAGCTGAAGAATGTTCATTAGCTGGGATTGGAATCAATACGTTTTTATTCCCTTCTCAGTATATTGATGTGGCTTCAATTAGTAAGTTTTGTCTTTGTTTTACGGATCGTCTTTTTTTCTTACCATGCTATTCTTTGTCTTGGTTATCAGGTGTGTTATCCGGTATTACTGGTGGTGAAGTGTTCTTTCATCCTAGGTTTACACCTACTAGAGATGGCTGTAAGGTTCTTGCTGAGCTTCGTCGTGTGTTAACACGAGAGACAGCTGTAAGTGTAACGATGCGAATCCGATGTTCAAATGGTAAGAGATTTCTTTTTTTACCTTTTTAACATTATGATGTCCGATTGAATGAATCTTGATTTTGGTTTGGGTTTGTGAACAGGGATCCGAATTGCCGAACATTTTGGTTCATTCTTACAAAGGAATGTCACCGATTTAGATTTTGGTAATATGGATGCAGATAAAGCGATTGCAGCTATTATCAAACATGAAGGAAAATTAGATGAAAAATATGAAGCCCATTTTCAATGTGCATTACTTTATACTTCTGCCAATGGTGAACGTAGAGTTAGGTGTCATAATTTAGCACTTTCGGTGACTAGCGCTATGGGGAATGTGTTTAGAAGTGCTGATATGGATGCTACTATCGCTGTGGTTACTAAACAATGTTGGTTTCTTTCTTTTCGTCTTGTCTTTTTAAAAGGTTGATACTGATTCTAATGAGTTTTTTCTTTCTCTCGATTAGATGTGGCCCAAGTCACTCAAATCCCATTAAGAGATGTTAGAGCCACCTTAACAGACACATGTGTGAAGATCTTATTAGCATATCGAAAGAATTGTGCATCATCCACTTCACCAGGACAATTAATCTTACCAGAATCATATAAATTATTTCCACTTTATGCATTAGGATTAATGAAGACTAAAGCGATGAAAGGAGGTAATGTTTCATCAGATGTAAGAACACATTATATGAGATATTTGAAATCGTTAGGTGTAGCTTCAACAGTCTTAATGCTTTATCCTAGAATGGTACCCATTCATGCTTCAGAAGATGATGTGGGTGAGTTGAAAGGGAATGGCAGGATTAAGATTGCTACACAGATGAGAGCTAGTTATCTTAGGATGGAACCTCATGGTGCTTATTTACTTGGTAAAGCTTTTTTTCACTCTCTTCCCCCCCCCTTTTTCTTGAAAAATTCATTTTAACTGATCTTTTCGATTCGATTTTTTGATTGGTTGTAGAAAATGGAGATGTGATGTTATTATGGTTAGGATCAAGTGTATCACCTAAGATTATAGAAGATTTATATGGAGTGAATTCATTAGAAGAATTAGATCCACAACTTTCATCTTTACCGATCAGAGAGAATCGATTATCAAACCAAGTTAGAAGGATGATCAAGTATTTCGAAACTCAACGTGGTGGACGTCGGAATTTACCAATCTTGATTGCTAGACAAAACGTAGATGGATCTGAATTAGAGTTTGCTAATATGTTGGTTGAAGATCAAAATAATGATGCGATGTCTTAGTACGTTTTCTTTTTTCGATAGTTTTTTTCCAGAAATGATGTCAAGATTGATTTTTTTGATTTCTTTTTACAGTGTGGATTATTTATGTTTTGTACATAAACAAATTCAAATGGATTTATCAGGTGAAAGAAAAGATGAGAGTAGTGGAATTGATCCTAGTGCGTTATGGAGAGGAGCATGGTGATCAAAGAATGAAAAAAAAACGGAAAATAAAAGGTTCATGGCTTTTTTCTGGAAAAATAAGGGCAAGGGAATTGATCAGAAGAAGGAGGGATTAGATGGGGTTTTTTCTTTCTTTCTTTGCTTTGTGTTTTCGGTTTTTTTTTGGCTTTTGGCTTTTAGCTTTTCAAGTTTTGTTACTTTTTTTGATTACTTTTTATAGAGCATTTTTTTTTGTTTTGGAGGTTGAGGAACTTGTGGTAATGTGAAACCTATAAAAGAAACTCAAGAAAGAACAAAAGAAAGAAAAGAAAGATGAAAAGATGTTTTTTTTTTGGTTTTATGTCATGTTTGTGGTTATTTGATATTTCTGATTTTTTATTGTCTTATGGTTGTTCATTTTTTTGATGGAAGTCTTTGGGATAATATTTTTTTGATGATGATGATGATGATGATTTGATAAATTTAGTGAATTTTAATGTTGAATGAATGGTTTGAAAGGTTGGAGAAAATAGAAATTGAATGATGAACTGGGATCAAATCTTGGTGGTTCTTTAGGAAAAGGTTTTGGAAAGCTGATGTTTTTTTACTCAAGAAAATTATTGGGTCTAGACTCTAGAATCTATATGGACATTTTCCACCAATGAACCATGTCTTGCAAGTTGGAGGTTCAGCATTTGTGCCTGAAGAGGTCTGAAGCTCCGAGGAGGCAGTGTGACACTCAAGCTTAAAAAGGGGTCGGCCGATGGTTGACGGATCAGGTGGCCCGGTGCCTGACGGTACATCATAATATCTCACTCGATGACATCATACTTGGTCCTTGGATGCTTGCATGGTCGATGGACTGATCAGCATTCATCCACCATGGTCAACAGTTCATTGGTCTCTTTACCGCTCGATCTTCTACTTGACTCTCTTTTTCCTTATCTTTCAACCAAAGACTTGCTTTCTCTAGCTGCAACATGCAAGCCTTTCGAAAGGCTCATTCAATCTACTGAGACCATTTGGAGAGCTAGAGTTGAAGCCGAATATCGTTTCCCAGTTACAGCAACAGGTCGAGTAGATGGATTTAAAACATTATATCGAAAGCTTTCTAAACCTCAGGTATGGATATGGGGTCAATCTAGAAATTCGAGATTAGGATTAGATGGAGCAGAAGATTTATTAGAGAAAGCTAAGATTGGGTATGATCAAGTTCCTACTCCACTTAGACTTGAAGTAGTCGAATCAAAAGCTTTGATCGATCTTCAGGCTGGTGGTTGGAGCTTTCATGGTCTTACTTTAGATGGTCATATTTGGTGTTGGGGCACTATGGATGGTTCATTTTCAGGTTGGAACGTCCCTTGGAACACAGCCGTTCATGGTGCTGGCGAGTTAGTAAAATGACATCTCTTCTTAATATGTGATGTTTCATTCGTTCTAAAGTCGATCTTTGTTTATCATCAAGATCCAGGCCTCAGCCCGCACTTCTAGAGATCAAAGGAAACTCTACGTTTAAGTCTATTTCATGTGGAAGACAACACGCCTTAGCACTCACCGATGATGGTCAACTTTACGAATGGTACTCTTGGATACGTATCTCAAGACTGATTTCAACCCCATGGAAAACTTTAAGTCAGATTTCTGCCGGATGGAACTTTTCGGCTGCATTAAGCCATTCGGGTGAAGTTTATGTTTGGAAAAAAGCTCTGATAGGAGAAGTACAGGATAGTTTGAAAGAAATAAGTGAAGATAAGGCAGATGAAATGATTGTGTTTGATTTGGAGACTACTGATAGGTTTGTTCGATGTCCAAGGTTACCGGAACATATTGTCAAAATTGTTCGTCTCATCTCTTTTCGAATCTCTCCAAGCAAAGAAGTAAAGCCAGATATACTAATTTCCAATGAGTCCATCTTTATATGTTTGTTGGGGCAGGCTACCGGTGAAGACTTCATTATCTGCTTGACCGACACGGGAAAAGTTTACAAACTCGACCTTTCTCTTCCCAACCGGGCTACTCTCCCACCTCACCTCCAACAAGACCCTACGATTTCTGATGAAGAACGTTTCAGAAGCGGCATGCATGCCTCCTTCCTTGATCAGAGTAGGAAATGGATATACCTTCCTAACTTTTGTGAGCCAGAACTACTCAATGGCGCTTTGTCAACGGCGTTACCGAACCATAGTCCGAATCCGAAAAATGATCCACGAATCACCCATATCTCGGCTCAATTTCGGTCTTTTGTTAGTTATAGTGTCACCACGGAACCCAACGGAGATTCTTTCGTGTTTTAGGAAAGAAGGACTCGGGTGTTGATGATGAACCTGAAGTGATTCCGGAGCTTCAAAAGCGAGGAGTGATCCAGTTGAGTGATACGATAAATTCTTAGCTTTCCTTGTGAGTTCTTGAAAGAGCTGACTCCTTTGATGTCTCTTTTACCAATTTTCACCATGTATCAGAATCTCCCTTGGTGATCATCACTTCTTAGCACTCTTGTCCAATGGACAACTTTTGAGTTGGGGAAGTTATTCAGCTGGAGCCCTTGGATTAGGACATCCAAGACAACCTCACCAAGCTCTTTTCTCGGAGAATTCCGAGTTGGAAATATATGATCAGCCTGATAAACCCACTCCCACTTTACTTCAAAGTTTTTCTGGAAGTGATGGCAAATGGGCAAAGGATGATACAGGGATGAAGCGTAGGTATGTGTTTGCTGCAACAGCAGCTGGATGGCATTCAGGATGCTTAGCCTTTGGAATAGACGATGATGAAGATAAAGATCTTGGATTAGGAGTGATTGATAAAGATAAAAATAAAAGTAACGAGGAAACAGAGTCGACCAGGCGACCTATTTTAAATCCTAATGGAAGGGTTAGATTTAGGATTGGATATCCTGGTCGGTTTATGAGAGGTCCTGGAAGAGGAAGAGGTGGAGTAGATCATTATGGTCAAGGATCTTCACAAGGCTTTGAACATGACGATTTTGGGCCTGAGTGACAGAGTGTTGACCATTGATTTCTCTGTATCACAAACTTGTTTTTTTGTTTCTGCTACTCTGAGGTACAACTAAGATCTTGTAAGTAAAGTCAATTGCACAGATCTTTTTACACAGATCCAAATGCTTTCATTAATTCAAAGTGTAATATTTTCCTTTGTAATGATATGTGTATAATAATCATTGAGAATGGTAGTTTTAAATCATGTGGTACAACAGACTCAGTCCACATGTTCAGTTGAATTGGTGTTTAGATTTTGAATGAGCAAGACTTCAAGGGCCCCTTTCTTTGGTGTCTTGTTTGTTTTGCACTTTTCAGTGTATGTGAAATTATCCCTTTGACAATACCTGTTACGCACCTTGTTTATGTACTAAGGGTGGTTGAGGAACACCATGGCAAGTCTTCTCTTGTGCATGATCAAATTCTGCTGCAGTTTTTCTAACAGTCAAGTAGCACAATGTTAGGTAGAGACAAGATGTATAATATGAGATATGATAAATGTACGCCTCATGTGTCAGGCCCAAGATGAAGACAAAATTGCTCAGCTCATAAATCAATTGTTTATTGGAAGGAAGTTTGATAGATATCACTACTGGCAAAGATACTTCAGATTAGAAAATCCAAGGTATCCTTGTATATAAATTCCCTTGGACTGAGTGTGGGAAGAATTAATCCACCCCAAAGATTGCCTTGGATCATTTACTCAGATGTTGTGTCTGAGGCTTTTGCCATCCAAGGAGACCTCAGATTGGAAAAACCAAGGCATCTGTGTTGGTGGTGTATATTTATTGTACATTTTTTAAGAATTGAAATCATAAGATTCAGTCATGGTGATGATTGAAAATTAATGAATTTCTACGTTCTTGGATCTACAGTTGGATCTACAGTCACATATGACCTCCTGTTCATATATATAATTGATCAGGTCAAATGGAACTTCATTGAATTCATAAAAAAGATGAATATCTTTTTAGAAGAATTCCAATTATCTTGATTTTGGATGAAGTTGAATCATCTAACAATTTTTTGAAATTACACCAATTGTGGATTTCCCAATGAGCTATAAGTTCTATATATCAATGATCAGCTTCATGAATGCAAGACTGAATTTTGAAAACTATGAGAACAAGTCAAAGTGGATACAATTTCCTCTTGAAAGTCATTGAAATTCATGCTGTCTTTGTATCTGTTTCAAATAACCCTCAACCACCAGTCAAAAAACCGCTAGCAATCAATCCAGAGCGCTTAGGAAGCAGTGGGAACAGAGCGGCAGTTGGAGAATTTGCACAATATTACAAATGTTCAATTGGTTCTGTAATTAATTGTACTTGCTGTTGTATCTCAAATAACACAAACTGTGGCCATTACTTGAAGTGGCCTGGTCCCAAACAACAGAAAGAGATATATCAAGTTATGGCACTTGAAGGTTTTTCCAGCTGTGTAACATTCATCAATGGAACTACTTCCCCACTTTATCAATGTCTAGGGCCCAATGGTAGAATAGCGGTACACAAACCTGGAAACCCAACCTAAAAACCCATGGACAAAACCCACAACAACCTGATTGTTTTGGGGGTTTTGTTCAACAGGGAAGGGAAAACCAATGGACAAAACCCCAAAAACAATTGGGTTGTCATGGGTTTTCAGGTTGGGTTTTTATGTTTGTGTACCACTAATGTTTTTTGATTGCAAAAAGCAATATACAATCAGCTGTTAAATTGTGTGTGATTGTTAGCTTAACAAAGCCCTCTCTGTACTCAGATTTCAACAATTACCATATAATCTTGCTTAAGTAGGATTTGTTTTAAAATGTTTTTGTGTTTCTCAGGCATAGAGAGTTTTGTGTCTCTATCTTTGTTTTCTTTGCACAACAAAAAGCTAGTTTGTTACTTATGTTTGGGTTATAATTTTCCTGTGCTCAAAGTTCAGAGATTTTTCTTGTTTAGTTTTACATATTTTGTTGTTTGACTTCTCAACTTGCTATATACCAACAGTGTGTCATAGCAATTGCACTCTCAAAAAACCAAAAAACTTATTATATGTGGTACCTGTACTGACGGGCCAAAGCTAGTTGGACTTGGATAAGTTTGCTTGCAAAGGAGGTTGTTCAAGCACTTCAATATTGAATGTTGAACTTAACAAAGTCCCAAGCAGGCATTAAAACCCAAAGCCTGCTTACGGACTTAGGCACAATGTGGCTTTCCTGGTGTGAGAGGTGGTGAGTTTTAATAGGTGTCAAAGGGCTCAATGAGAAACTTTTGCTACGCAAAAGCTTTTCAAATTGCCTCACAAACAATGGAAGTCTTGCCTTCCGGGCAATACCCTATATTCAGATCCTCCAAGGTTCTATTGTTGTCCAGATTGTGTCTTTTTATTTACATACAACTGTGTCATTTGTGTAACATTGTCCTCTGCTTTGGATTTTTGAAAATCAAAAATCTGCCTTTTTGGCATAAATGAAGACTTGAGCACAACTCCAAATATGGATGATCTGAGTTGAGGTTGGACTCAGATGCAGCAGGACTTCGATTTCCCCAGGTACAATTTGGAAAAGTCTTCTGCTGCAAAACTTTTTCATTGAGTCCGTTTTTCCTCTATTAATTCCCATGACCTCTTCATGCCAGGAGAGCCACATTGCGCGCAAGTCCCTCCGCAGGTTTGGTCTTACCGCCTGCGAGGGACTTTGTCAAGTTCAATTGAATGTGCTATGTTGCATCAATTTTTCAGCTTTTAGGAAAGTGTTTACAGTGAGGTGATATGAATGAATTTCGGGTGATCAATTGACCAGCAACCTTATCATTTTGTTGCCGCTGCTGGCTCTCATGACGTAGGTCACCCCCTGTCTTAAAACTACAGACGTCACAGTGTAACCGTACTTCTTCAACTCTCACTGTCGCGAAAATTCCATGTGGATGTGATCATGTGATATCCGTAGTCGAAGTCGCGAAGGAAATCGATCGGTATGTGACACTGAATGTGCCAAGTTGCCCAGGTTTTTCTGATTTTCCAGCTTTGCGGATACATATGTAGTACTTGTGTCCAGGCAAGTGAAATGAATGGATTGCGGACGTTCATTTACCTAACAACCCTTCGATTGGGCAACCGCTATTATTTATTGATTTGGCCATTCTTGCTGACAATTCAAATTCTCACCACCGCTGGGATGATGTTCATATAATATATTCCCTCCCATCAGCCTTCATTGGTTGACTATTTCACTCGACTCTACTTGACTTGAATCATCTTTTGGTGCTCACTGCCAATTATACAAGATAATTCTCACAAAGTCCATTTTTCCTATCACATAATGAAGTTTATCTTGTTTTTACCCATCCTCTCTCATCTCCTCTTCCTTGTCGGAGAAACTAAGGTGAGCGGGCGCCTTCAAGCGCGTTGGGTTCATCCAGACAATCAGGACATCAGCAGCAGTAGCGAGAGAAGATGGCTCTCGTATAGTGATCAGGGTGATTGGTCGGACAACGAATCAAATGACCCGTCAAATAATGTATTGCGAAGGCGAAAAAACGATAAACCCAAGAAACCGACTAAAGATAAAGAAAAATGCAAAGATTCGTTCAAGAAGCCACCTAAATCGTCTGGAACAAAATGTGACAAGAAAGATACAAAGGGTGGCAAGGATGATACAAAGAAGAAGCCAACGAGTCATAAAAAGAGTCATAAAAAGAGTAAAAGGGACAAAAAGAAACAACCGGACAAAAAGAAACAGCCGGACAAAACAAAACCACCGAATGGCAAGAGTGGATCAGAAGGTTCAAACACTGCGACGTGCAAAGCTGCAGGCGGCGGGAAGATGGTCGCAAACACCAACGACTGCGAAGCGTCAGTCGATCACTGTTTTTTATCATCTTTGTAATGTTTCCTGTCATAAACAACATGCTTGTAACAATCCGGCCTCTGCACCTAGCACTGATAAGCTAATTGACACTGATTTCGAATGGGTGGATTACACAGTGCTGCCAGACATGCGGCCCAAGCAAGTTTAGCGTGTGTCAAGTTCAAGAGCTGTGCTGTAAGTTCTGTCATCTAATCAGGTCAATTGATATGCTCCACCGCAAGCTGAAAGGCTTGGCTTCAACAGGTCATGACAAGGGTCGTCAAAGGCCAGGTGAAGAAAGCACAGGCAATGAAGGAGTAGGTTTCTAGCCACTGAGTACCTCTGATCAACATCTTGTGTCAACTAACAGAAACATGGACATTCTGATTGATCTGTCTGAACACAGTGCATCTGGGAATGACGCTGCAAGTTCGTTTGGAAACTTGCTCAGCAATGAATGCAATGTTGAATGTCCAATCCCCTGTGTGAGTCTTGCAATCCCACCTCTCAATATGGAAAAAAATTGATCTGGGTCTCCACATTGTCATGTTGATAGAAAGATTGGCCAGTCAAAAAAAACAGTCCGGACTACGACCTACAATGGTCATATCTCTTTTTCAACAAATTAGAAACATCCCCAACCCCTCAAGCTTGTGATAAGGAGATATTTGACGCGTTGCAGGCGGCTCCTTGATAAATCCTTTACCACGAGGTTTGCCTTTATAGATGTATGGTTTCAGTTGTTGAAGATGCACTTTGACAAACCTAGCTGAAGATGACTGTCATCTAGCCTTACTATGTTTTCACTAATTAGCTTTTTAAGTATTCATGCTTCAAAAATTTTCTCATCCTGCTGCCGGAACAGCCTTGCTGTATTCCTTGATCTCTCTGTCTTATGTTATCACTTCTTGTCCATTGTTTCTAATTATTTTGAATTTCACAAAATCACTTTCTTTTTGTGATTCTCACAATATAATATATATGATGATGGACTACAATCAAGCAGACTTCTGTGATGAAGAAATTTAGTGAGCAATTTATATGGCTAATTTAAAATCAAAATTTCAAAATGTATAACAATTTTTTTATTTTAAGAAAAATCTGACCAGAACTTCAGAAACCATTCATGCCTGATTTCTTATTTACTTGCGCAATTTGAAGTCAGA